CCCCTCTCCCTCTCTCTCTCTCTCTCATTGTCCTCTCTATTCTTCAATTGTTTAATTCTTCTCTTTTTCTCAGTTCTTCTATCAATGCCGAGCTGTTGGACTTCTTAGACCACTCAACTTCTCAAGCTTCTCTAAATAGGAAAATCGCTTGGTGTTTATGTTAGTAGGAGGTTTGCTCATACTCTTGTCAGTGTCTTCTTTAAAGTAGCTCTCCTTATTGCCTGTGGAGCTATCCTTCTCCATATCAGTCTCTTCCGTTTCTGCATTCCAGCCCATGAACTCAAAGAGTGTCTTTGTTGGTGTCTCTGAAGAACTCAACCTGTCCGCGTCTTCCCTAGCATAAGGGGACCTCCCATTATCTGTAAATGGTGATGATGAGTCCACTGAAAGCCTCCTGTTTGATGACGCCTTTCGAGCTTGATTATCAGCATAAAGAACATCTTCAACCATAGACATGACGTTGAAGGCCAAGCTTTCTATTACCCTTGAATAGCTCTCTAGAATAGCATACCCCACATCCTGTGTATAACCAAAAAACACATGATTATTAGATTATAAAATAACTTGACAAACATGGGATGAAAGAGAAAAATATATTTGGCAGTCACCTTATTGTATTGAATTTTGCTTATGTCAAGAGCAGATTGTGGAATTCCTGGGAACTTCTGCTTTAATAGGAGTAATATGGTCTCCACTCTCTCTTCAAAGAGTTCTCTCTTCTCCAAGCTCACAACTGAACTCCATGAAGACTTTCCATCCTTGTGGTTCATCTTCCTCTTCCAAATGACAATAGAGGCCTCAATCCTGTCTTTGAGGTCAAGCACCTTGTGCTCTGTGGACAAGTCCATGGTGTCAAAAAATTCCACAGGATCAAAGTAGTCCACTGTTATGCACTTATAGATTGAATCACCCAGGCTGGCTCTACCATTCTGTCAAAGAAACAAAGTCAATCAATCCCAAGTTAATTTCAGCATTTTCTGTCAAGTAATAATCCATGAGACTTCTTAAAATATAAAATCTTTAGTAATGAGAGTCCTATGTCTTATACCTTAGGAAGGGATTCAATGTAGTTATCAGGTATCTCCATTTCTGAAAGTACTTGAGCGTTAATCGCCATTGCTGCTTTTAGTACTTGGTTCACAGATTCCTTCTGAGATTGCAGCCATCTTCGACATTCATCTGATAGCCCTTCAGGGGGGACTTTAACAGTGGGTTTCCACCATTTCTCTTCATTTCTTGGGGCATCATCACCCTTTTCAGAGTCTTGAGCATCTCTTTTCACATACCAGAACTCACTTGGGGTTCCAAAGCTATCCAGGTGGCCCTGTTTGATTATAACTGATTAGCAAAAGGTGTATAATTCTGCATGTAAAACAGTGATATCCTCTAGCTATAACAGGGAGTAGATAGCTAGGGAACAAAAGTACTTACAATGAGCATTCCATCGAGCTTGCGTAGGGCAGGAATGTTCATGTGCAGATCATTTCTTTGCCGAGTCACCATAATCTATCAAATCAAAAGGACAACAAAATAAAAGGATTTTAGAGTCCTGCAGTTTTGGAACATTGAATAGTATATTATGAGCAAATATATATTTGGATGGACACTCAGATAAAGGCAGAGAAAGAGAGAAGGAGTTATAACCTCCATGTTTGTTCCATTCTGTTGTGAAGGGACGAATTCAACGATGTGATCTGTCACAGACAAAAGCCAGCCGATTTCTTTCACCCACCTCGCTTTCCTATCAGGAGACATAGGCTCTAGTTTCCTTTGTTCTCCAAAAACAGATGCTGCATTGTGATAGAAACACGCAGAGAGCAAAGAGCAGGGAAATCAGAATTACTCTCATTTGGATGTAGCATCTGAATTTGCAGATACATATTCTGATTGACAAAAGCAATGCAGTTTCTGCAAGGCATATACTATAGAAATTATTATAAGGAAGCCTAAATGTATACCTGCTAGGTTGGTTATGGAATTGGATAAAGCCAAAGCCGAAGAGACACCCTTTCCACCACCTGACATATCTTCACCCAAAAGCAGCTTAGAAAACCTTTCCTTCATCATTTCCATATCTGAACACACAAACAAATTCCATAGAAGTGATTAGAATTGTGAAAAGAAATAGCATATAGAAACTATGCTATTGAAATCATGCAACAAAAACTCCAGGTATATAATAAATAAGACATATAATTATTTTGAACCACCTGAAGGTTTCTTGCCTATAGGACTTTTTATCCTTTCTCCTTGGTCCCCATCTGAAGCTGTACCCTTATCATGATTAGCTCCCCACATTCCTTGTGCCTCGACCGGACCGTCTTCCGCAGCAGTCCTGGAGCCTGGACTCAGTAATTGAACATTTTCGCCATCTCCTTCGCCTTCCTGCCCATTCTCAAAAATCAAATTCTGAAGATGTCTTGGAATCTCAAACATACGTTTCAACTGGAAAGATTTAGTCTTCTGCATTGTGGCTTGGGTTGTAAAAGCTCGGACCATTGTGACTTGGAGAGCTTCTCTAAATATATAATCTAAGTTACAACACCAATCTAAACAGACACACAAAAGTGATGCAAAATCTATAGGTTGGAAAAGCAAATGTTATTTGTTCACCTTCCTCTTTCTTGGGCAACAAACAACAAGAAGAAGAAGGAATGTTGTTGTATGGGAGAAAGAAGGAGAAAAGGGGGGGAGATAGTATTTCTCCCAATAGAGAGGCTCGAAAGATAGAAAAATGAAAAGTTGAGTTTGCAAAATTGATGAAAGAGGGAAAAGAAGCAGAGGTGCTTAGTGCAGTTTTCTGTTTCTGCAGCCAGGGAACGTGGGGTGCATATGATTTGAGAAACCAAACAAAATGTGGGGTTGACGTAATTAAGGTTAAGTATGATATTATGAATAATTAAAAAAAGAAGGTAAATTTCTGGGGCTGTGTTTGTTTCTTCAATTGAATGGTGGTTAATGAGTTTTCTGTTTTTCAACTATTTTTATAGGAAGGGGAATGGTGAAAATTAAGGATCACTTTGTGTACTCTCAATCTACGCGTTTTGACGTTAACAACGGACAACCATTGGCTCCTTCTTTATCACTATTTTTGACAGGGGAAAATTCTAAGCTAATTTGACTGGTTTGAATTGAAGTTTAAGGACAATCTCTTTACATGGTCTTTGATATTTCTCCAATCACCCCATGACACTTGGACATGTACATTTTTGTGCTAACTCTGCTTCAACTGGATTATATTTCATTGGAACACTGCTAAACTTCTTATAGCCTTTCTTCTTTACCTGCAAATCAACACATTATACTAAAATGGCTTATTAAGAACATGAAAAGAAAAGTTTATGGACGTATGTCGTACTGTGATTGGTTATAAACTTACTAATATGGAAGTCGAATTGGTCATATATATACATATATGAGCACCAAATATATAAGCAGATAATCATATTTCAAAGTTGTTAAAAAAAAACCCATTAGATGCTTCATTTCTTGTTATTCATGTGTGTAAAAAGTTGCTGACTTTTCTCTCTTTTTTTTAATTTAGAAATTGAGAGACGTGATGGTCACAATTCACAAGTATTTTTAAGTATTGCCATGTCAAAAGAGCTTCACCAGATGAACAACTGGCGACAGGCTTCCAAGGGAGTATCCTAACCCTTAAACAAAGTCAACAATTAAGACTCTGAAGGTCGCTAAACTCAACTAATTAAAGGAATTAAATTTAAATAATTAACTCGTGAAACTCTGTACAAGAGGAGACCAAACTAATGAGAGAGAGAGAGAGAGAGAGAGATTCCAAGTTTTCCAACGTTCCAATTGCTGCACAAAATTATTAAGCATTCTATATTCCATTAAGAACATCAACAAATAAGAACATTGCAGAAGTCCAAAATCAGCTTATATTTTGCAAGGTTCATCAGCAACACCCATTTGTCTCGCAAGCCTTCCATTTGTTTTTGACGACTTGGTAAGTGCCTGGCTGCCTAGTTCTCTTTAATGATAAGTAAAAGAGGAAAGTTGGGGAAAGCCCCAAAAACTAACCCAGGGCCCAATACGCTAAACCCTAACAAAGACAAAAGGGCTAACAACGAAGAAAGCCAAAACCCAATAAAAGGAGCCCAACCTACAAGTATGTGGTCACATACCCATATTTCTGTTTAGGCCTTTCTAAATACTAGAACTTTTATTTTTCTTTTATATGGGAGGGAAATGCAAACTTGTAACCTCTTTCAACATTAAGAATTAGTTGGTAGATGTTCTCTTAGAAAAATTAAAAAAAGAGTTGGTAGATGTACTTTGGATTTGGAAATTTGATAAATATGCTTTAAAAGAAAAAATAATAATGTCTACCCATGAGAAATTCCATTTAAATGCATTTTAATTAGGGAGCTGATTTTCCCACTTCAATTTTGTTCACTTACACTTTCTTTGTTGAAAATTGTATGTTCCCACTCCTCTTTTGTCCACTTACACTCTCTTTTATGTTATAATAAAAAGTATTAAAAATAAATATAGGGGAGTGTAAGCTGACAAAATGGGAGTGGGAAAATCATCACTCTCTAATTAATTGAAAAATAAATTGGTACATATTTTTTTGAGTACAAGTGATTGTTTAAACTAGAGGGAGAGGGGGATTTCTCGCACACACACTATCATGGTGCTATGCGGATTCGAACTTCAGACCTCTAATCTACAAGTCCCCATTGACGAAATTGAAACATATTTAGTTTCAAGGTTTTATAGTCATTTTCATTCTTTTATGGAAATAATCAATATCACCAATGGACTTGAGTTGGCATGCTTGCTTCATGTGAACATATTTTGGTTAAAGGGTTAAATCAATATGATCCGAGAATCAATATGAAAGTGTATAATAACTAGTACTAGGAACTTAAAATCAATCTCCCCATTGAATTTTGAGGGTCTTTGAGCAGGACAGGCTCACTCAATTTGGAGGTCTAGTCAGTCAGTCACTCAAGTCAGCTTTTTTGATTTTGCCCTTTCCTTGCCAGTGGAGATGGCCAGTGAGTGGATACCTATTTCCAAAAGCTTTGCCATAAGTTTTCATTGCCCACAAGTGATTGTCATATTATGTCAAAGTTAGTGATGTGTGTATGTGTGTATTTGGCTTAGCTATCAAAATCTGAATGGTGGTTAGAATTTAAATTTCAAACCATAAACAAAAAAGGACCCCAAGCATTATTTATGCTATCAGCAAAAAGAGGAAACAAAATTGGTGAAGATTATTTAATTTCATTTATGACAAGCACCAAAAGTATTAAATTAACAGTGCAGTACTCTTCTTACCTTTGCAAGAATTCCGTGACTGCATTTAAAATTTCTCATTTGGGTTGGCTTGCTTGAGCTACTTTATGCAACCCGCTAATCAATGAGGCTGACCCATGCAACCTTTGGTGGCACAGAGGAATTCTTCATGTTAATTATAGGTTAATGATTTGATGCCCCCATTTGAAACAGCTTGTTTTCTAGTACCTTTTGATTTCAAATAGCTCCAAGTATTCATGAATTTTTTTAGATTTTTTTAAGGATACAGAATTTAGCTGTAGAGTCCCGTGACCTTTCCTGTGGAGAAGAGGCTTTTAAGCTCATACTTATTTTTAGCTTTATGGCTATTTGTGAACACTGAGCTGAACCAATCAACCAATCTTGGTCCAAACTCTAAACCCAAATTATTAGACTGATAATTATTGTATGTGGTTTAATTATGATAATGTAATCAACAATTAATAATAGTCTATGTGAAGGATAAGGCTCTTGCTTGGGTTAACTCTTTCTAGATGGATGATTTGTTAGGCGTTGTTAGGCCTCGCTTGATCCGTATTAGTTTGTCGTCCTTTCTTTTAGGAGTTTTGTCCCCCCTATCTCATATAAAAAAAACCAGTCTATGTGAAGCTAGCTCTAGTTGCTTTAATTATAAAGTAAAAAAGAATGAGAGCGAAAGAAAAGAACAGTTCATGAATGGCCAAACAATAGAATGTGCTGTGTGTCCTATATCTCTATGATTGATTTTGTTGTGGTTCAAAAACTTGTACCCTTTTTTATGCAGAAAACGCCAAAGTGGAATAATTCTGAGTTGTTAATTCATACCTTTACTGAAAATCTTCCACCTTCTACCTTTGAAACTACTTGGCTTCTGCTAGGATGAACTTTTTTTAACAATTGTTTAGTATATATTTTTTTCATAACAAGCCTGTTGTTGAAAGTTTCAACACGTACATAAAATATGTAAATATTGGTTTTTTTATTTTATACAAACGATAATTTAATCAACGAAAAAGAGGATTCAAACTTAAGTGCAAGGAGACGGGCTGGTCTAATCCACTCAAACAAGGTTGCTAAATGTTTGAGTGAGCTGCTGCACAGTATGTAAAAGCCGGCCATGAGAGTCAATATAATAACTCAATATGGATGAGAGTTGGGACTTGAGAGACAAATCCATCCAAAACTTAAATGGACATACACATACCCCCAAACCATACGCAACAAGTTTGATAGTTCCCATTATTGTCCAAAACCCATAGGAAGGAACAAGGAAATGAGATACAAGTATAAAGTACACAACACATGCATATACATAGAAAAATAATAATAATAATTGCTCATTCACCTTCCTCCCTGATCAGATCCAAGATTAATGACTTTGGGCCCTGTCTTAATCATATGTTAATCTCTCCATTTATGCTTAAAACCCCATTTAGAGTTTTCTTTTACCAAAACATTCCCTTACCAATACAAGTTAACACAATAATAAATAGATAAGACTACAACAATTGCTGGTTGTTAGTTTTTCCCCGAAAGTGCACAGTGGACTAGATCTTTCATTCTGTGATTTGGTTTAGGTACGACAAGAACCAAGTGAACCGACTAATCACACCCACATCACAATCTTCTAAACGATTTTCTTGTCTAATAAACAAAGAAAAAGGAGCACCAAATCTTAGACTGTTTGCTTTGCTATGAACTTCCAAACACTTGCTTAAAGTCAATGCACCTACTGTTCATCTCTGCTCTTCTTCTGTGGATCTGAGTCACTGCTGCTACCTCACTTGCAGTTGCTGGTGAGTTGTTTGTACGACTGGTTTCTGTAGCTTTGTGCTTGTGTTTCTTTAGTCAGAGGTGAAGCTGAGCTACAGTTTGCTCTGCGCTCATCACTGGTGTGGCTGCTTGCTTTGTGCTTGTTTTTCATCTATGTTCTTGGCCTGGTCTTGTATTTGTTGTTAATGTCCTATCCTGGGATTTTCAGATAGGTTGATCAATGCTGAGAAATAAAAGCCTCAGAATTCAGGTAAATGTTATGTGCATGACATTTGTGCTCTTGTTTGTATCTTTTAGTACCTTTCAAACCATTATGCAAGATATATAAATGGGTGGATGACAATGTTTTCTTTCCATCTGTTCTGTTTTTTTTTTGTCTTCATATGAGAAATTTCATCATATGTCATCTTCTACTCTGTTTCAAATTTATGTTGATCTTTCATGCTCAGATCTATCACTTCCAAATTTCAGGACAGCCTCTGCCTCTCTCTCTCTCTCTCTCTCTCTGCATGCATGGTTTCTCAGAAACTTCAAGCATCAATGTGATACACAATATTTTGTGAAATTGTGGGATTTTCTCAAATAATCCAAATAGCAGCTTGTTTGAAATTTTCAAAAATAGAATCTTCTTTCTATTTGTGATTATCTTTCTTTATTGTTTATGTTGGCAGCAACTAATTGTTTATTTGGCCTGTCTCTCCCTAAACCAGAACCAAACAAGTGTTATTTATGTCTGCTACCGACGATATTCGAAAAGATTGACTAGAATTTCCAAGACCATGTAGGTTTCTTATGATACCGCATTTGTTATTTGTAAACTGAATTCAATTTTATCGTAGCATCTGTCATTCTGACTTTTGTGATTGTAATTTTCTATCACAGAATATGCCTCAAGACGGCCTGAGATCAGCTGTGTACAGATCATTTGTCACATGTGATGATCCAAAAGGAGTTGTTGATTGTGGGATGCTTAGAAAATCCAAAAGTGGTTCCCAGAAAATAGAGCAGAAGATGGAAAACAGAAGAAAGTCCAAGAACTCAAGCACATCTTTGGATATCAAGACAGGGAAGCATGAGATGATCCCTGAAAAGTGCACAGGGGAGTTTCAAAACCCATCTTCTTTTCAGCTTATGGAAGTATCTAGAGGAGCTCAGAAGCTGAACCGCACGATTGATTCTTGGTCCAGTGGGAAGAGGTTTGATGGGCAGCCTAAAGACATTGCAAAGGATTTGCTCAAAGGAGCTCTTGATCTGCAAGAGTCTCTTGCCATGCTTGGCAAGTTGCAGGAAGCATCACAGTACATGGCTCACTTGAACAAGAAACACACAGAAAAGTCTGAAAGAGGAAGAAACAATGGACTGGAGACTCACAGAGCTTACTCAAATCATTATGGAGATCACAATTATGTGACAGAATTTCAAAAGCCTAGGCTTTCTGCTGATGGGTCTTCAAGGAGTTGTACTGAGGAACTTAAGAAGGTGATCAAGGACAGCCTTGTAAAACAGAAACTGGTGGAAGATACAACTTCTGTTGAAAAACCTTATACTTTTTTCCCTCAAAGATATATGGATTCATGTTCAGACTCTCCCTCCACCAGCTCAAGCCAATCTTCCATGTTTCATACCACTAGTGACTCCACCATAGCATCAGCTCCTCCACAGAAGGCTAAAGGCGGCCCGAATCTGATTGCCAAGCTGATGGGTATAGAAGAGTACCCTTTACAGGCCACTCTCAAGAAACAGTTGGAGGAGGGTGAGAAGATTTCTAGTCAGCAGAGAACTATGTTTGATATTGATAGGCCAAAGGTGAGAAAGCCTCAAACTTTAGCTCAAAATGTTGATCATGAAAGGAGGACCTTGAGGGAAGTTCTTGAGACGATGCGATTTAAAGGACTTCTGAAAGGCAATTATGTTCAAGAGCATAAGCCTGATTTCCATCATTCCCATCACTCCCATCACTCTGATTCTGAAAAACGATTCACTTATGACAGTCCACCTATTGTACTTATAAGGCCTCTTCCTGATCCATCTCTTGAATTGGAGAAGCCCCATGCACCATTGGCTCGGGCAGAGGAAGCTTTCTACACCAAAAAGATGCGAAAAAAACTGGGGAGAAAAGAAGAGTTTTGTCCCAAAACAATCCATTGTAAAGAAGGAGCTTTGAAGTCTGACAAAACGCACCCAAAAGTGGAAGCAGAAAGCAAAAGGGTTAACCATGAAGAAAGAGCTAAAAACCATAAAGTGGCAGTAGAGAAACCTGAAGAAAAAGAAGTCAAGACAAAAGAAAAGGCTTCAAGAAAGTTGAAAGCTTCTCATCCTGTAGATCACAAACCACAGAAAAAGGAGGCAATTGACAAGAAGGTTGATAGGATCCAAAAGGTGACTGCTGTTAGGAATTCACCTGAAAAAGATATGGTGAAAGCTAAAAAGCCAAAGTCTCAAGATCAAGACAAATTGACATCTACAAGGGCGAGAAAGCATGAATCTGGATCAAACATCATGAAGAATCAAACTTCCCGACTACCAAATACTATGACAAACACAATCTCAAAACGTTCTACTCAGACTATAGTGTCTAACTCCACAGAGCGGAAAAGGAATCACTTAAAGAAGGAGAAGCCAGTCAAAGAGCCTATAGTAGCTAAATCAGTTGTAAGCCTTCGTTTTATCAAATCTTTTTGGTTGTCCTAAAGAACTTTATTTTGAAAATTGTTGTGGTTTTTTTCCCAACTTTATGTTGTTTATGAAAAAACTGCAGAAGTATGGAACTGAAATACCAAAACTAGACATTTCCATACGAAGTTTCTGATTTTTTGAAAACTAATGTAGCTTTTTTTTTATGCAGACCAAAAATGTTGTGAGTGAAGAAAGTGACAAGAGGATTGATATGGACGACAAAAGTGACGATTATCCGATCAGCTCCAACATCACTAAGGAAGAGGAAACAGATACCTATGGATCTCAGACTGAAGGTATGGCCTTCTTTAGTTACACTTAGGAGTATGGTTATACTGGTAATATGAGAGCAAGCCGTGTCATCATTAGGAGTTGTCAAAATGTTTCATTAGAAGGTGACATATATGTGCAAATTGCTGCTCAAGTGCCTGCATGGTAGTTCCAACTTTTAAGGAGACCTGCATTGTTCAATTAATGAAGTTAACCAAAATTTCAGATTAGTCTTATGTTGTGTGCATGCAAATGTAGATTTTAGTTGACCTTTTTCCCTTTTAACCACAGGACATTACAGTAATTCTCAAAGTTCTCTATATGATGCCACACCACCGAGCCCCGAACAAGAAACAGACACTAAAATTGCAGAAGAAGCTTCTGAGCACATTAGTCAGAGTGCAAGGGATGGCAAAACGTTGGGAAGTGGAGAAAATCTTGGAGATTTCCTTTTGAACAATCCATCATTTCTGAGTCTTGCAGAGGAGCTTTTTGATCTTAACGTGAATAGCTCTACAATCTTACTAACATCTTCTAGTCACAGTTTTGGAGAATCCGATAGAAGACTATTTATAGATTGTGCAGGTGAACTCATCAAGTGCAGAAGTGTTCAAGATTCAAAAACAGTTGATCTTTTGCTACTAACATGTCAAGGCAAGTCAAGAATTTGCATATCTCTAGACAAGTTGGTGCAGGAAGTTTGTAACGGGATCGAGAATCTGATAAATTACAGCAAGCTTGCTGGTGAGAACCTTCTTGCAGACAGTCTGCATGCAATGTTGGAGAGAGATATAATGTGCAGAGGAGTGGTAAATGGGACATGGGATTTGGGTTGGAGAAGTGGATTTTCAAGGGATGAAGCTGAGCAAGTAGTGGATGACATAGAGGAACTGGTTTTAGATGGATTGATTGAGGAGGTATTTGCATAATTTGTGCTAGCTCTCCAGCAATATCATGATCCCTCTACCTATTTTCTTTGTTATACAGGTTTGCAAGCTAACTTTTGCACCCAGTTATTTTTCTGTAAATATATGGGTGCTTAGGTTAATAGAAAGGGAGACATATGCTGTATGGCAAGTTCAAATGTTTCTGGATGCAATATTTCTTCCAAATTCAAAACAACTACTTACTGAAAAATCATTAGAATGTGAAAATAGTTCTTGAGTCTGCATTGTCAAAGATTCTGGAGGGATAACATGAGTAATATTAGGTAGCACATTTTGTGAAAGCAACAAGACTTTTGTTTGCTGTTGGTCCAAAAGATATCTCTGTGAAGTGGCCAACCAAGAGAAATGGAAAAACTTCCCTACCCCGTGGCATTACCTCATTCCTCTTATTTCTCTCCTCGTGTCACTTACAAGGAGGAGAGAGATAGGAAGAAGGGGGAATGCAACGGGAATAGAGAAGTATTTGTGGAGAGGAGAAGGGACTAATTCATTAATTTATAAAACCAATATCTGACTGAAGACCAATCAGGCAAATGTGGCATAATATAATAACACATCCAAATGGATGGCATGCATAAATAAACAAGTTTTGAAAGGACACGGAAACAAACAGTGTCTCGTTATATGACTTGGACTGGCTGCAAATTGCATAGACTTTTTGGCAGTGAGTACAGCTATTCAATTCTTCCCAATAATATAGAAGCAGCATGGCAACAACCACCACAGAATAAACATCAGACTCATACAGATGATGATGATGAATAATTAGTTAAGAGCAATTAATTATATGATTATGATATGATTAAGCAGTAATATAATCCCGAGGAGGAATTACAAAGAGGCATGTGGGGGCACTGTGAGGCTCTCCACCGATTGATAGAAGATAGAAACTCTTTAACTACTATTTACAAACTCTTGTTACCAGTATCACACAAACTTTGATAACACAAATAAGTACAGATTCCAAGAGCTCTCATACTTTTGATGTGGTAAATTAACTCACGAAGAGGCTCCCTTGAAGATAAGGAAATTGAGGGTCTCCAGGGAAAAGTATATGAAAGTCCCAGGTGCATGAGTGAAGAAACAACCAAAGTTAGAACCCACCACACATTGCCAGCCACTTCCATACATCTTGTCAAACTCCTGCAAACACAAAACCCATCACGGAAAATTAAAAGACTGAAAACCCATTAAAGAAATTTTAAAAAAATCATTGTAAAATGTTTAAAAAGTTGACGTCTTTTTATATAAGAAGAAGATAGGCAAAGTGTATATGCATACCTTCTTGATGTGGGCAGCAATAGATATGCAATCAAAAACGTCATGGAGATGATCAAGGACTTGAGAAGCACAAGCCATGGCTTGCATCTGCATCTTTTCTGGCATGTCTGTTTCCTTTATTGTAGCTTTCCCTTCCAACATCTTTCCTTTCTTTTCTTTTCTTTTCTTCTCTCTCTCTCTCTCTCCTCCTCCTTTAGATTCCCAGATAGATATATAGAGATTCCTCTTATGCCACAAATGTTGGAAACTGAATTGAAGAGTCTACGGCTGGCTGTGATTCTGAAGCACACACAATCAAAACCAGAACTTTCCACTCTCCAGTGTTCAAATCAAAGGGTCCGAGATTGACTGGTTTTGTGACTTAATTATAGGAGAAGTTTCAAGCTGGCACGTAGCTCAACTTTTTGGTACACTTTTTTTTGTCTCCTACCACTCCTTTCCAATCCAATCCAATTTCCGTCCATCTAAAATTTCTTGGTTTCCTCCAACAAAGGAAATTTAATCCATTCATAGAGAAAACAAGCTTCTTCATATGCGCTTCTGGGCTTATGAGAGATTTTTTTTTTTAAAATTTTAATTTATTTAAGAATTAAAAAAAAAAAAAAGTAGTTCTGTTCCATAAAAATAGAATCCATTATTTGAATTTTCTTTTAATTTTAATTTTTTAAATATAAAAAGATGTGAATTTATCATATTATCCTTATTTAATTAATAATTTCAATTCTTATTATTTGCATTAATAAATGATATTTTCTAATATTTTGAATATTTTACCATTTTTTACCTTTTATTTTATATATATATATAATAACACCGAAAAAGCAGTCACGTCTATCAGAACTACTTGGACGGTCTGTCACGTAGCACCCCCTTACGTGGCTCTGGTGAAAAGGGCGGCTACCAAATACCAATCAGCAACGGCTACCTAGCTAGCGCCATATGCCGTTTCCCATTTCTGACTCTGACTTCCTTCATTGGGCCCTTGGTGACTGTTTTCTTTTAGGCCTGCTCCTTGCTTGGTCCATGCTACTCAAATTTGGACCCATTGGAAGTACTTCGCCGACTGCAACGAGACCTTGCCGTCGAAATTGGGGTCTAACCTAAGCGGAGCTGCTCGGTTATGGTCGGCCTCTGAAATCATGGTGTCCAAATCCTCCAATGCGATTTTTGATCCAAGCAGCCAATTGGAGTACTAAACAGTTAATGTGCTTAAACTTCATATATATAGCGGTGTTGACCTAGCTAGGATCGTCCTAAAATATATATATATATATATATATATAATTGTACACAGCTTTGAACATGTATAGTACTAGTTTTAGTAGTATGATAGTGGTATGGATTGTATATAATTAATTAATTAGATAAAGGAAGGCTTTTGATGGATGAATATATTTATGTGAAGAATGGTTTTCTTAGTTGGTACCAAGTCATGACCAGATTGGATTGGTGTGTATATATATATATATATATAATGACACAAAGGTATAATATTATCGAATTAATTAGAGTTTGTACTGTGGACTTTGGTTGGCTTGCCAAAAACTATCAGGTAATCCTGCATGAAATCGCATGCTCCTCTCTCTCTTCATGAGAGTTCGGTTCATCCTCTCAGTAGCTCCATTTTGTTGGGGATTCTTCTTAATTGTGAAGTGCCTTATGATGCCTTCCTGCTTGCAGTAATCGGTAAAATCATTACTTGTATATTCACCTCCATTGTCACTTCTCAGATACTTGATCTTTCTTCTAGTTTGATTCTCGGTTTCTGTTTTCCATTCCTTGAACTTTGCAAAAACCTCGGATTTCTGCTTCATGAAATAAACCCAAACCTTCATAGAAAAATCATCCATGAAAGTAACAAAATACATGGATCCACCATTTGATTTGGTTGGTGCAGGGCCCCAAACATCTGAGTGAATATAGCTGAGTTTCTCCTTGCTTCGGTTATCTGCACTACTACTTGCGAATGATACATTCCTTTGCTTTCCAAGAACACAATATTCACAAAAGTCCAGTTTGCAAGATGACACGCCTTCCAACAGGCCTTGCTTGTGTAATTCTTGCAACCCTTTCTGGCTTATGTGCCCGAGCCTATGATGCCAGAGTTCAATCTTGTCTTCTATACCTTGATTTACAGAAACAGCTGCTCCCCTAACTATAGTGGTCCTAATTAACTTATACAGCTTATTTGGTTGTAGGTCAACCCACATTACCACCAGTGATCCTTTGGCTACCCTGAGTCTTCCCTTTTTAGACTTGTACCCATAGCCAACCTCATCTAAAGTACCCAAGGAAATCAAATTCTTTCTTAGTCTAGGGACATATCTAACGTTCCCCAAAACTCGTTGTTGCATTCCTAAAAGGACACAATTTAATGTGCAAACAACCAATTAAAAATATCCGCAAGTGCACGAATCTATCGAAGTATAGATTGTGTAAGTACGGGGTCGATCCCACGAAGAACTTGTCGGTTGCCTATAAGTTCTAATTCGAGTACAAAGAGAACACTTAACTAACACACCACAATGCACAAATGCAAATTTGAAACTAAAAGAAATGTAAAAGAAACCTAAAAGAAACAAACAAAACAAAAAAGAAATGTGCTGTGAACAGTGACCAGCGACCGGTCGTTATGTAAGAGCGACCGGTCGTTGTGGTATGGCGACCGGTCGTGAGGTAAAAGCGACCGGTCATTTTAGTACAGAGTCGAAACTTCAGAATTGTGTGCTGAGCGACCGGTCGTGAGACACTAGCGACCGGTCGTTCTTGGGCAGAGTCGTTTTCTCTGTTTTTCTAGTTTCGACCTCTGTCCAGTGTTTTACCTATAACTTTCCAACCGTACGTCCAAAATTCACGTTCTTTATACGGTTGGATTCAGCACAAAAAATGA